AATTTAAGGGGGTCTGAATACTTTCCGTACCCACTGTATGTACACGTATAATTGAATAAGGTTAAAATGATGTTCATTGTAAGTTCATGTATCTGAATGCTGTGAATTTTAAGTTATGTCTTATGAATTGTACATATTGAAACAAAATTCAAATTGTAAAATTATTTTTACTAATATTACTATTATTATAAAATTATATTTGAATACATTTTATGACAGTTTAATCAGTCTAATTTTAATATGAACTTTCTGTTAATCATATTGTACAATGTAATTGCATTTTACACTATTAAGTGTAAATATTAATATTAATATTTACATATTAAGTTCTGGCTCTGTCATACTGAATACTATCTTGTCAATCAATGCAATTTCAAAGCACAGTCAGGACAAGACATCTTTATGTATATAGTGCTTTATATGATACAGATTGTTTCAAAGCAGCTTCACAGTAATAAACATGAAAATGAGATAAACAATGATGCAAATTTCTTTTTCTGCAAATTTTCAATTTAAGCTGTAAAGCAGCTCTCTAAAAAAGTTCAGCTCCAGTCAGTTCAGCGTTGGTTCAGTTCTGTTCAAGTTAATCAATTATGAAACAAATTCAGGTCTGCTTTAAGCAGATCTACAGAAGGCAATGTCGTCATTTAGCTCAAATCAGTCCAATGTTTTTTAAGTTCGGTTAAAAAAAGCTATAAACTATAAAGCAGCCCTACAAAAGATGATAGTGTCATTTAAACGCCATCTAAGCAAGCAATATTATTTAACATCACTGAATCAACTTAAATACATTAATTTATACCAACAAAACTAATATTTAGGAGTTAAATTAGGTAGAAATATCTCTTTATTGTAATAATTGCAGGTTTTTCGATGTATGTCAGGCACAAGGATTTCTGCAGACCTCTTTCCCTCTTCCTCATATTATGTTCATTCTGAGGCTATATTAGTATATTATTTGTATATTAGTAGGTGTATAGCACACGGCATGTGCAGCAGTACATTTATTCTATTTTGAGTATAGGCTGGCATGACTCACCTGCCACTGTTTGTTTGAAAACCTCTGGGCTTCTGCACCAACTAACACGAGCCCTCAGCCCTGTTGCAAACATTGGCTTGCGGCGTCTGTGTGTTCATGTTTTCCCAAGCATCTGAGATCTGAAGTGCATAAATTGGCATCGTCTGAAAGATGATGAGCTTTGCTTTCTTTCTCATTTATAGATTCAGCACTGTCTTTATTAAATCTGAAATACTTTTATGAGTTGGATATTTTTTCAAGGTAACTTTTTAACTGTATTTTCCTCTCAAAAGATGATGGGAAGCTGTCCTTTGACGAGTTCAAGGCTTACTTCTCAGATGGTGTTCTGGCAGGAGATGAATTAAAGGAGCTTTTCCATGCAATTGACACTCATAACACAAAGTAAGTATTGCTGCTTTTCATTCACATACACATACTAATGACAAGGCACCATTTTGGGTTCCTCAGATCGACACCCTGATTAAACCCTTTGGAGGTCCTCAAGGTAACATTTAAAAAATGGCAGTTTTTGAACACAGAGCCCATAACAAAATGGAACTGTACTGCCGCATGTGTCCATGTTCAATACTCAGACACTAGACACAAGTACACTAGACACAATCACATAGCCAGAATCTCACTGTATTGACTCTCAGAATATACGTATGCTTGAAATCCAGCTCATTTAAGTCTGAGTCCAGGCAAAGATCTGGAGCCGGTTGCACCAGCTGTGTGAAAGTTACAACATAAAGACTAAGTTACAATTTACGCATACTAAATATTTTTTATATATACTCATTGGGTTGAATCCAAATCCTCAGTACTTGCTGTCATGGCTCTTCAGTTATTAATTAGAGTAATGGACAATTTACCTGGGAGTTCACCCAATGCCTCTGAATCAAAGAATCAATTCTTTTTGGAATCGACTCCCAGCCCTACATATCGAATAACCACAAATACTAAGGAGATTAGAACCCTAAATGGCGCCTCAAGTATCTTTTTTTTTAATAATTTTTACAATATTCTTGCCATTTTTCTTGCTGTATGATTTTGTCACAAAAAAGGCATGAATATACAGTAGCAACCATGCAAGAGAAATGCTTTTAAGCATTGCCTTCATCCAGTAGCCACTCTGTCCTGCTGTGAGTAACATCCAGTGAGGACGAGGGTGCGCTGTCTCTCAAACATGACAGAGTCCTGTCAAACTGATGCTTATCATGCTTCTGGCTTGTTAGACAAAGCCACGTCAATGGTCCATGCTGATGTGCGTGTTTGTGCGAGAGAGATAAAGAAGTTTGGTTTCTTCTGCTTTATTCTGAGATTTTTTAAATGAAATTTAAAGGTTTTAATTTGTGCAGAAATAATGCATGACATGCCAAAGGAAAAATAGTAGTTTGCATTTGTATTTGCGGGAGGTGAAATATTAAACCTACATTTAAAGGGCTCACCCAAAATGAAAATTGTAAATATTGCCCAATATTTCATAATATGTCTGTGTAGTGATTAATGCAGTCTGTGTAGCATATGTTATAGGGAGTAGATCTTCATCTTGCCTTCACCTCCTCACAGAATGATTTCATGTCACTTAAGTCATCTTGGTTTCCATAGCAGCAGCTCTCCTGACTGGTACATGCTCCCTTTATAGTAGGTGTTTGATGAGAGTGTGCTTCTGATTTTATTTTCCATTCATTGTGTGGCTGGCCAGATTTGGTTTGATGTAGTATTTCAAAGAAAAAAAAATCACTTTCCTGTGCCAACATAATGGTTGGCTCTCACCCTTAGCACAAGCATAATATTGTTTTGGGTCAAGCATCAATTATTAATTGTGATAGATAGTAATGATTAAAGTGCGAACCTGATAGCTTTCTCAGGAAAAAGTCAACAAAGTAACTATCCACTTGTTATACAATGCATTTTATCTGAAGTATGATCCCAAATCCCATGTTTGTTTGTTTTTTGAGAGCTATTAGTTATGTAAAATTAAGTATTATGCAAAATTAACCTGGTATGAAAACTCATAAAATGTCAGTATCCTTACTGAGGTCATAATTTGGCATAGTTTGTAGAACTGGCAATCAGTTGATTGTAATAATTATTTTTAATTATTTAACTATTTTGTGCAAACTTGTTACTGCATGATTTTCCACACATTACAAAAAAAGAAAGAAGGAAAATTGTCATTAAAATTGTGACGTCCAAACAGTAAAATAATTTGCGCTCTTTCTGCAGCAAGACAGGGAGACAAGTTAAAAAATTAAATAATAATAAAAATTAAATAATAATTTTCTTGAATTTTACACAAATGTAAGTGTTGACTGCATTTGTCAGGCTTGTTCATTCATCAATTCATCAACCCTGTTACCAGTATAATTATCTAACTATAAACCAACATTTGGTACCGAACTAGCTGGCTGATTATTGGCAGTTTAATTTAAGGTAAATTTACAACACTTATTATTTTATTTTATTTTAAAATATCTCTGTCTTTGATTTTGATATTTGTTTATTATTATTATTATTATTATTATATATTTTTTAATAACAAAAACCCACCAATCAAGATTTTTTTTTTTACTGTATAAAAGACACTTTTAAGTGTTTTAGGTCTTATTTTGTACTCTATTTGTGGAAAGTGGCAGCCGCATGAAGTCTTAGGATGAGGGGTCCTGCATTTACTCTCAGTATCTCAGGCACTATCATATGTGTTTGATATGCCTGAGAAAATAACTTAAGGCATGACTTCAAGCATACTGATGGATGACAGAGGTCTTTATCTAAATATATCTGTTCCACCATCACAGATCAGTTTGTCAGTTTATGGATTATCGCAATTCATTGGTCACAGACAGAGAATCCTGGAAGGAGGATTCCTTGAAAACATTTTCTCAGCAGAATTCACAAATCTTTCCTTGAAAGTGACCCAACCATTAAAATCTAATCTTTAGGTGTGAGAAGAGCTCCGGGTTTTTTATGTCCACACTGAAAAAATTTCAACCCACTAAAATTGAAAAGGCAGAAACTTAATGATAGTGATTTCATCCCATTTTAATGTCAATTTCAATCCCTGTAGCCAATAATGCTTTAACCGATTGAACATTTTTAACCACTTCATAATATGAGAGCAAACAATTATAGATTATTTATTGTCCATTACACTGAGGTCTGTCTTTCTACAGTGTAATGTCTGGAGGAACATATGAGATGAGATATGAAGATTATTGACAGTGTACAGCAGGTGCTTCTTAAGGCCTTATTGATATGTTGTCTTTGTGTTTATTGAATGCTTTACCTCCCGCTATGAGGTCTAGCTCAGTCAGTTAACAGTTCAGCCAAAACGCAAAGCCCCCTGTGACTGTTTTATCCAGCAGGTCTAACAATGGTTATTTTTTGGTGTCCTTCCATCCTTTAGAGTCTAGACAACCAACAAATGCAGTCATTGCCTCCAGGCAACTGCCAAATGCTGAGAATCTTCCACCCACGGTGCTGTCACTCTGTGAAGTTAATGGAAATTGCTGTTAAATTTGGCATATTTCTCTCAATAAAAACTCTGTTTAAAGTAAAATAAAACACAAATTTTACCTTTCAGCCAATTTGCATGTTCCCATTCATTATTACCACTACATTTTGGATCAAAGTGATTTTTTTAATGCAAAAAGTGAAATATGGATAAAAATATATTTTAAAAATTATATTAAAATATTCTATAAAAAAAAA